ATCCGAAACCTAAACCTTCAGTCCACACGAACCCAAAACGTAACCCTTAATACAATCCTGACCCCCTATTCTAACCGTTACTGCAACCTTCAAATTAACTACAATGCCCACTTTAATTCCCAGAACTTGGCCCAAAGCCACATGTCTAGCGGGCGGTCCCTGTTCCCGTGTCTTGCTTAAGTTGACATATAGGCCATTGAGAAGAAGAAGAAGACTCGATCGATATAGGCCATTATTACCGATTCCGCTAAAGGTAACAGCCTACCTTAAATAAATCCTCATGTCAGCTGTCCACAGGGAGTTTTTTTTACATAGCAGATGGTCTGAGGCGCCCACTGTAAGTGCCAAGGTTTTACTTTCTTCCGGACAGATTCTCTCAAGAGTTTCATCTTTAGATCCTGGAAAAAAAGCAAGAAGCAATACGCGCGATAAATGTATGACTTCATTAGGCTTAATCGCATGAATGTGTGGCGTATGCATTTAGTAAGCCCACACCTACTAACTAGGCTTTGTTTTTTTGGGGCGATAGCGACACATATCACCCCTGTGGCGGACGGCCAAAATACCTGAGAAGAAGACGACTCGATCGCTGGGACAATACTTTTATTCGCCTGATGTTTCACCGTCCGTCGCGGATTCATTATCAGAGACATTAGCAGAAAACAGTAACAGAAACGGTTTTCGGCCACAATACCTGCCCACTCTTCGTTCTGCAAGGCCCGATGCCCCAAAGTCATGCGTCGTCACAAACAACTGTTCCAATGCTTTCTTTCACTGGCACTCCCGTCCCCGAGACTTGACCTCGCAGCTGCTTCTGTGTAACCGATAACAGCTGCGCCAGCGTCCCCTGTCCTTCGGCGTTCCGACGGCCCCCACAGTCAATCTCAGGTTATTCAATCACGCACACACGTGCGCGCTCACCCGCACATATACGCGCGTCCAAATAATCACGCCTGTCTAAGGGCCACCTGAGTACCATCCCTCGGCCGATGCAGCAAAGACCTTTGAAGGCGACAACCCCTCGGGCAATTGCAGCACACCAATAACAGAACACCTGAACCTTCTTAGCAATCCTACTTAAGCAGCTACCACCACTGTCTCATTCTCTCTCAGGTATGGCTGGACGCAGTCAACACTAGTCCTGGGTTCGCCAGTGGCCACTGTTGCGTGAGACAGCAACTAGGAGTTCTGTACACAACAAACCTCTCTCACAGGTGCCTTCTGTCTTTTAACTTCCAACCTGGTATTCAGCCTGATGATTGTAGTTATCCCAGCACAACCACTACTTGGACCGCTACACCCCTGACTGACTGTTTACATTTCGCATAAAGGCGAATACAAGTGCAGTGAAGTCTTTG